AAAGCGTGCGTCCACCGCGCGGCTCCGGGACCCTGGTGAGCGCAGGGCAAGCCGGCCTCCAGCCGCCTGAAATGCCAGGAGGGCAACCACTGCCAAGGCCCGTAGTATTTCTCTGAATCTGCGCCGTCTTCGGCTAAGGGCTGAGCCAGGCATGAAGGAACTCTTCTCCAGGCCATGGCAAAATGAGAGGCAGGCAGGCCGCGGGCTGCCTCGGACACTCGTAAGCACCAAACGGTCTTGAAAAAAAATGAAAAATATAAGCTCCTCCCATTACATACATGTAATTAAGGACTGACCTCAGAGACAGGCACAATGAAGGAGCACCACCACTACAGCTGCCAAGCAGCGATGAAACCTTCCGGTGGCATTTATATTAACACCAAACCAAAGCGTCTCCGGGTTCTGCAGTCATCCTTGGGCAAAAAAGGAGGCAGGGCCACGGGAGTGACCGGGAAGCGACTGTCTAACAGCATGGAATTACTTAAATTATGGGCCAGGGGAGGTGAACCTAAAAGGCCAGCATATTTGAGAAGCAGTAAAATGAACACTAGCTTTCTTTAAATAGGTGAAGTTTTCCTTAATGAGTAGAACTTACATGTGCTTTTCTTTTTTAAAAAAGATTTTATTTATTCATGAGAGTCAGAGAGAGAGAAAGAGAGAGGCAGAGACACAGACAGAGGAGAAGCAGGCTCCATGCAGGAGCCTGATGTGAGACTCGATCCGGGGTCTCCAGGATCACACCCTGGGCTGAAGGCAGGCGCCAAACCGCTGAGCCACCCGGGGATCCCTTACATGTGCTTTATTGTGGCCTGAGGTTAAATGTACCCGCATTTCCTAAGAAGTAAAAGGACAGCTACAAAACCAGCATTCTGTCCCCCCACCTGAGGCCAGAGATGCAAGTCAGCAGGTATACAGATGGGATGGGTCGCGTATGCACCATTCATGAGACCGCATGTGTTGCTGAGGCACTAAAAACATGGTCTTTTGAGCGTCTAGGCGCTTCATAAACCCCTCCATCTTTGAACCCCTTTGCAGCACCTAGTTGGTTTTACATCAAGGAAAACATGGTCCCAGGCTCCAGTTCAGAGGCCCAGGGAAGGCACAAGCAGAGGAAGGGAGGGCCGGGGGCTGGGGGTGGGAGGGCCAGGGGCAGGGAGGGCCCGGCAGCCACTTCCCCTGCCCCTCCAGTCCCTGCTCAGGGAAGTGGCTGGGAGCAGAGACAAGCTCTCAGAGAAGCAGGGAGGGGGGACGGGAGCCTCCCCCCAGTTCCTCTACAGCGTAAATCAGACTCTACCTCTACAGACATGAATGACCCCTTAACCTGGAAGTCCCCCAATTTTCTGTGACGAAGAAACCCAGGCTGGTATCTAAGTGACTACCCGTTGTGCTGTCTGGAGAAGTCCACTATTTGGAACCAGGGCTTCCTTGGGACTCCCCCCAGCTCAAGTGCTCAACCTAAGGATTATCCCCATGCAATTACTGATGATGGTCCTGGCACCATTAAAAGGACTTCTGGGGATCCCTGGGTGGCGCAGCAGTTTGGCACCTGCCTTTGGCCCAGGGCGCGATCCTGGAGACCCAGGATCGAATCCCACATCGGGCTCCCAGTGCATGGAGCCTGCTTCTCCCTCTGCCTGTGTCTCTGCCTCTCTCTCTCTCTCTCTGTGACTATCATAAATAAATAAAAAATTAAAAAAAAAAAAAAGACTTCTGAAAAACTGAAGCTGTGGTCACTTCGTATCCAAAGTCTGACAATGTGAATACCCTTTGAGCCTGTAGCTCCCTCTTCGGAACTCATCATAAGGCTACAAAGGCACAGGCATGCTGATCACACCACTAGGAAACCTGAAGCATCCATTAATAAAGTGTGGTGCACCCACACACAAATCACGCTGCGTGACTCTTTGCTGAGATGGAAATAGACCTAATATCAAGTGCAAAAAGCAGATTATAAATCAAGTACACATTATGATCATAATTAAGTTTTTTTAAAAAGGTACAGAAGCACAGAAAAAGGAGTCACTTCAGGGTGATTTACAGTTACAGTCTTTCTGCTTCTGTGGGACCTAATTGTATTTTTAATTTAAAAAGAAACAGGGCACCTGGGTGGCTCAGTCGATTGAATGCCCAACTCCTGATTTTGGTTCAGGTCATAGTCTCAGGGTCGGGATGATGGAGCCCCACATCGGGCTCACCAGGAGTCCAGGAGTTGGCTGGGGTTTCTCTCTCTCCCCCTCTGCTCCTCGCTCTCCACCCCCACCACCACTTGCACATGCTCTCTCTTAAATAAAGAAATCTTTAAAAGAACAACAATAAAAAAAAAAAACAACAAACATAAGGTAAATTACTTTTAAAAATGGATTTTCTGGTTGTCCTCTCCAAATGCAGAATAAGACCTTGCCGTGTGGCGGGACATTCAGGAGTGTTTGTTTTGCAACCAAAGTCAAATCTCAAAAGGCCCAGGCGGTGCCAACAGAGGCAGGTCTGAAGAGCCGCCTATGGATGCAGAGCTACTGGCAGGTCCACTTAATTAGTACAGATTCAAAGCTAATTACCAGGAACCAGCTCAGAGCTTCTCCCAGTCTGCTCTCGACATCAAAGACGCAGACTGCGCTCTAACCCCACCCAGGCGAGCAGCAGACCCCTCACATGTTTGGTTGCATGGAGACCATCCGTTCCTACCGTTCCCCTGGCTGGCTCTGCCACGAGCACCTACCCCGCCATTTCCTAACACATTCCCATGGCTTTCCAGTCCACACAGCACCTACTTTACCCCTCCCTGCAACTCCTATTCACTGCCGACTTAGCCTTCTCCCCACCGGACTCAAGCCAAGCATCCACCCTTACCAACACAGCCACCTGCTCTGGTCAGCACAGATTCTGTGTTTCAGGGTGCTCCTGGGTCAGCCGGCCTACCAGGCCCTGCGCCCATCAAGGAGAAAGGCGTCGACTGCTCTTTCCTCTTCTGAGGTGAGAGGCAAGACAGAGAAGTCCTGTGTCAAGGTCTGAAATAGGCCCTTGTGGGGTTAAGAATCTCTGATCTTGTCCAGGTGATGTAGAGCATCCTTCCCTGCCTGCGACCCAGTCAGCACTGGGCTCCGGAGGCCACAGGCCTCGTGTGTGTTTCTCAGCTGACAGCACCAAGAAGCACCTCTCCCACTCATCAATCTGTGGGTGCTGACGTCCCCCGGCCTCTCAGCACTGCCCTCTGGGACTGGATTATCGTCTGCGAGCCAGCAGAAGGCTGCCTCCAGCCAGTGCAGAGAACGTGGCCAAGAACAGCAGCGGGATCAAGCCCGGGCCTCCCTGAGCGATGGGAAAGCCCAGATTCCCCAGATGCCTGCCATGCAGGTGCGCGCCAGCGGGGCCAAGCGTACCATCTTCCCTCGCAGACAGTGCAGATCCACGCGCAGGAAGTCCAACGTGGCCCTCGCCTCCCCTGCACCACTCTGGCAGAGGGGCAGGCTCCCCCTAAAGCTGACTCAAGTCAGATAACCACTGGAATGTTCGACTGAGGAGGCAGAGAGAATCCCCAACGCCTTTCCCCAGAGGCGAATACCTGGCCACTGGGCTGGTCAGGAGCTCGTGAAACTGAAGCCCCAGGAATGTCATTAAAACGAAGCTACTCCAGGGTCCCCTGGGTGGCTCAGCGGTTGGGCGGCTGCCTTCAGCTCAGGTCGTGATCCCGGGACCCAGGACTGAGTCCCACATCAGGCTCCTTCGAAGAGCCTGCTTCTCCTCCTCCCTCTGCCTGTGTCTCTGTCTCAGTCTCTCTCTCTCTCATGAATAAATGGATAAATCTTAAAAAAAAAAAAAAAAAGCTACTCTGGGCACAATGGACTTCTCACTCAGATACATAAACTGATGGTATTTTGCTTTATGTAAACTCAGCCCGAGAGGAGGACCCGGGTGTGCTCCCACAGGCAGACACCATGTGTGTGAAACGAATGGGGTAAAACAGATTAGACTGTACATCTACTGGAGATAAATGACAATGCACAAAACAGTCACTTTCCCTCCGAGATCAGCTACACTGCAACCCAGCCCTGCATCTCCCTCGGACCTTGGGGGACTTCTATTCCCACAGCCAGAGTCCTGGATGGTGACAGCACCAACCCAGGACCTTCCTGCTTAGGACCATTTCCCCCTGGGAAGACAAAGAGGTTCTGGAGATGGATGGTGCTGACGGTGCACTACGTTGTGAATGTGCGCTCAGGCCACACCACTGTACCCTCAACAATGGTTACGGTGGTAAATTCTATTAGGTGTATTTTGCCAAAAATAAAAGGACAATAATGCAACATGAAGAACACATCTAGAAAATGATCTGGGAAGTCATACTAGCAAGGAAGTGGGCTTCCTGTCCCTGTAGGGCCTCAGAGCACACCCCCAAACAATTCGGCCAGCCACCAATGTCTGGGCTTCACGGGCGCGGCAGGAGTCCCAGGACACCCTGCCCCCCAGCACTGCTGCCACCGCCGGCAGTTCCCACTCAGGGCATGAATCAGGAGGGAGGCAGGCAGAGACACACGTACACACAGAGACAGAGACACAGGCAGCCGGAGCCCGGCAGAGAAGAGCAAGTCAGCAGGACAGAATGAGTCAGCCGATGGAGGAGGAAGTACTGGTCCCTATGTTCCCCAATGTTCCCCCCGGGGCACACACAGGACTCCGCAGGCGCCAAGAGTCAGGCCCCGGGCCTTCCCGGGCGCCCGTGTGACCTCTGCTAGGCGCCCATCGTACATGTCACCCCCCCACCCCGGGGGCAGCCCACCCTGGCCCCTCTGCCCCCGCACAAGGCCAGGTGCACCAGCCCCAACCGGCCTGACACCCCGCCCTGGGCGCCCTCAGCCCCGGGGACAGGCTGCCGGCCATGGCGGAAGCACTGTGACACTCCGCAGGACCCGGACTTCTCCGGCACCGCTCCTCCCGCCTCCTGCCCAAGCCCACCCGGCCCGGCACTGGTCCCCTTGGCCCCCAGGGCAGCAGCAGGTGCTTACCACTCCAGAGTCAGAGAGGGCTGCGGGAGGAGGAAACAGGCTCTGGAGGGATCCGGGATGCAGCTCCTTTTATTGAAAAGTAACCCCCACAGGAAAGATTTTACTTCATTTTTTAAGGAAGAAGTTTCACTCTCCGTGTTCTCCCTCAGACCTGAGATCTCCTGAGCAGGCGAACAATACCGCGACCCGTTCTGGCTACATCTACCTCGCTTGTTCTCCGGGTGAGGCCAGTGTTCCCTGTGGAAGGAGGCACCCCCAGTTTTAAAGAGACAACTCATAAAGAGGCAGGGCGGGCTCCAAGCAAAGGTCCACATTCCTGAAAAGCCTGCCAGCCATAAAATGAGTTAACACCTGAATGTATTACAGCCTGAGCCGCCCAGGTCTCCCCTCCCCCAGCAGGGGCCAAAGGACCGCCAGTAAAAAACAAAAACCACAGGGATAAAAGATCTCTTTGCGAAGACAGCCAAAACAATTCCATCTGTTAACAAAAACTAACTGTTGAATTAAAGGTTGCAAGTTCAAACACAATCTGGCTATTGTAAACAGTGCCTCAGTTTATCAAAGCAACAATAACACTCTTTCAGGGATTGATAGAGTTCTCCACAAATACTCGCCCTCCAGCATTTTTAAGATACTTTGCAGGATAAATATTAGCTTGAGACTTGCCTACAGGAGAAGTGAAAGCTGCCAAAGAAGCAGTTCTAAAAAAAAAAAAAAAAAAAAAGAGCGGCTTCAGCCAGAGGGCAGGGTAGCAAGCTGCCCGTGGCTGATGGGAAGGAGACTGGGCCCTTGCCCTGCACCGTTGAGCGCTGTGCCAAGGCAGGGCGGCCAAGCCCCTGGTACCCCACCCGTCCCGGGGCCGCCTAGGAGGGCAGGGCTGCAGCTCTGTCTCCAGATCGAGGGCACAGCGCCAGGCACTCCACAAACAAACCACTTGGCATACAGAAAGACCTGGAAAATAGAGTTAATTAAAAGGAGAGATTTTAAGATAATTGTTGGGATGGAAAAGAACAAGGAGCATCATAACTTCAATCGGATTTAAACTTAATTTCCTGAAAGACAGTTACGTCGGCTGGGTAGCCTACTGTAGAAAGCCAGGGGATAGCGGGCCCTGCCATCAGCAGCTGGCCCCCAGGTGCCAGGCTGGGTGGGCAAGCGGCATGTTTGTGCTGCCAATACCCCAGCGGACATCTGAGTAAGATGTCACTTACCCTTCACCTGTGGGGGGGGGGGCTTTTTATTTTAACACAGTAGCTTGCAACTCAATAGGAGCTGGAAGCAAAGTCAGAACAAAGCCAGCCACCACATAGGTGACACGCGGGTGACACACAAGTCTTTCCCCCCAGCAAGAGACCGCTCAGGGAGACCGCTGGGTGTGGGGCTCTGCGGAGCCAGGTGGGCGGGAGGGACTGAGCACCTGTGGATCGCAGCCTTGGCCACCACAGGCCCTGGGCTCTGGACCTTGACTCCCACCCCCTTAATCTTTCAAGGCCACCCTCGGTTCTCGCACTCCTCTGAAACAGAGCAGCGTGTAATGCTGCTCAAAACAAGTTCTGCTTTCTCCCAGGCCTGCAGACAGCGGGGTGGAGTGACGGGCCGTGCGATGTCCCCAATCACTGAGGTCCTCAATCACTAACTGGGTCGCTCGTGACTGCACTCAGACGTTCAGCCCTCATGTCCCCGTCTACAATGGGAATGACACCTCCAGATCATGCAGAGGACCAGGTAGTACGAGGATCACCACGGAGCCCAAACCCTGCAGGTTCTCGGCAAAGGGAGCAGCTGCCACCACCCTCAACCCTCTGCAGTAGGACAATGGTTGCCTATGCCTATGTCTGGATAAGATAGTCTTGAAAACTTCCTGGGTGGGGCCGCCTGGGTGGCTGAGTCTGTTAAGCCTATGCCTTCAGCTCAGGTCATGATCCTGGGGTCCTGGGATCGAGTTCTGTGTCGGCTTCTCCCTGTCTCTGCTCATTCCCCTCTGCTCCTGCTCTGTCTCTCCCTTTCTCTGTTATGCAAATAAAATCTTAAAAAAGAAAGAAAGAAAGAAAAGAAAGAAAGAAAGAAAGAAAAAGAAAACTCCTAAAACGCCTGAATGGCTTAGTGGTTGGGCGTCTGCCTTCAGCTCAGGGTATGATCCTGGGGTCCTGGGGTTGAGTCCCGCATCGGGCTCCCCAAGGGAGCCTGCTTCTCCCTCTACCTCTGTGTAGAAAGGAAGAAAGCAAGAAAGCTCTCTGTGTAAACCAAATCCTTTGTTCAACCTACATCACAGTGTGGCACTCAGATACACAGCCCTAAAAGAGATCAATCACAAAAAGAGAACCATCTCAGAATTTTAGTTACCAAGCATGGTCTAATTTTTGTTTGAACGGCTTGAAGAATAAGAGTAATCAAATCATGACAATACCACTGGTTTCATGGGAACTTCTACCTACAGTTGTCTTAAAAGGGAAAAATTCTTTGTTGGAAAAACAAAAATCTAGGTTAAGAAGTGGTTCCACTCAGCTATCAGAAAGTAAGCATAGCTGGCGATTTCGCGGTCAAGGCAGGTACACAGGTTAGGTCTAGAACACCACGAGGGCCCAGGACCTTCCACAGCTTGAGAACACCGACCACTGAGGCCAGAGGTTCACAAGGTCACCAGGACTACCCCCTCTGGGTCACCTGTGGAGCAGGCAGGCTACTGGACACAAAGAAACCACTGCTGGTCTAGGACAGGGTCCCTCCTTCATGGAACCTACAAACAGGGTGGGGGGAGTGGAGAGAAGCTGCGTCACCTAAAGGCCAGTCAGTGAAACCTCCTGACCCCCTCCACTCCTCCTCGCCCCACCCCTCCCAGGGTGTCAGAGGTGGGGAGGCAGCCCACATGACAACAGAGGGCAGCAGGCAGGCCCAGACAACCCAGGGGGTGGCTGCACTCAGAGGTCCAGGGGTAGTGCAGGGCGCGGGGTTTTAGACCTGATTTTCCACAGGAGCAGGACAGCTGGCTCACTCCACCCTGGACGGTGCTAGGTGCTGGGCATTCTGCGACAGCAGGACCTGCCCTGCAGGGGCTCAGCCCAGGGAGACGCCCTCAAAGGACCAGCACTGACCATCGGCAGGGGAGCCTGGGAGCGGAGACATGCTGTCCAGGCCTGCAGCAGACGACGGCAGGAGGGCCAGGCGCTCGGGTAGGGGGCCACCAGCACAGGTAGAAATGTGACCTAGGTCAGCCGAGGGGGCTTCAAGGGACAAATAAGAGAACACTTTTGAAACTCCTTTGGCAACAGAGCAAGCATCCGGGAACATAACAGGCTGCAGGTCAAAGGGCAGCAGCGGTGGTAAGACCCTCAGGGATGGTCCAGCCCCGCCCGAACCTCAGAGGAGAAACGGCCCCGGCCCAAGGATGGCCCAGGGATCCATCGATGACCAAGACACTGAGCAGAGCCAGTGCTGACACTACTTCTGCCCTCCCAGGTGCCCCCCTTGCCACGGCTTCCTCGACCTTCCTGAGAACTGGCCACATGTCCACGGCAGGGCTGCCGGACCACGTTAACGAGAGGAACTCGCCTGCACGGTGCACGGCAGCCCGGTTGCCAGTGGCCGGTGACAGCGCTCCCTTTCAGCTGCTGGCCCCTCTCTCCAGGCCACCCCTCCCTCCTCCTGGAGTCCAGCCCCCACTGGATGCACCCCCTGTACTGTGTTTGCGCCACTCGGTGCTCCCTGCTGCCTTGTCCCCAGCACGAGGTATGGCCAGGACATTCTGTCCCAGGTTGGCCCCTCCTGCTAGCCGCCCTTCACCCCTTCCCCTTCAGCTCCCTCTGTTCTCGCCCTCCTCACCCCTCAAGCACAGCAAACCCACACAAGTCCTTGTGCGTCCAAGGCCCTGACTGCAAACCACAACCTCCCACCCACCCCCGACATCAGCCAGGTTCCCCCTGCAGATGGCAACGCTTCTGAAGTCCAGGACAAGGCCACAAGAGTCTGCTGTGTTCCCCTGGTGCCGGAATGAGCGGCCCTCGGTCTTGGGGCCTGACCTAGCATCCTTTCTTCCTAAAGCTCCAAGGATTACTTCTCACCTGGGTGTCTCCAAGTGGGACAAGCTGGATGAGATAGGAACTAGAGGTGCAGGAGCCTGACACCCAGTCCAGCAGGGCAGGCTGGCACGGGCACAACCCACAGAGCTACCGGCCCACCTCTGCCTCATACCCAACGCCAGGTGGCCAGCAGGTGTTTTATGGCCAAAGGCACGGGTGTAGGAAGCATCAATCCCAACCACCCTTGGGATGGCTGTTATTTTACCACTGGCTGTATCCAAAATCCATCCAAAGTCACCACTATCCCTAACCCACAACCTCGTCACCAAATGACACCCCACGTCTTGGGCCTGTGCAAAGCCGCTCAGAAGTTAAGCCTAAGGTGTCCCACGGCTACCAAAGGGCCTGTGTGCTGGGAGAAGCTGGGGGCACTGAGCTCTTCTCTGGATTTCCTGTCCACCTGAAAGCTCTATAGGCCCTGGGAGAGGCAGGAGAGGAAGGCAGAGTGGAGAGCACAGGAGGAAGCCCTGGACACTGCAGCCTAGAATGTCTCAACCGTTCCAGACATCCCAGGCATCCGCATCAGCTCCAGCTCCGCCTGAACTTTCAGGGCGGTGCCAGGGGCCCACCAGACCAGGGGCACGAGCAGGGCTGCGCTCACTCAGCGATCACCCACCCCCACCCAGGGCTTCGAGGATCTCCCTGCAGTGGCGGCTCTGCGACTGGAAGGCGAAGGGGACAGGTGGCAACAGAGACACAGGCCAAGTCCTGCGTGCACTGCACTCCACAGAGGACCCATGGCACCGCATGTGCAAACCTGAGTCCCCGCAACGGAAGGCGGGTGGCACTGGAAGAGGGCAGCCTCCAATATCAGTAGTTCAGAGGGTGTCCGTGCACCCCAGCCCTGCACACCTGCTGCTGGGCCGGAGCCTCGGCTGCACCTCACAAACACACTCCTTTGCGGCACATGCCACTTAACAACAACAGAAAAAGTCAGACAGGATGTTTTCATGCTGATCTGAACAGTATGGACTTGCTTTAACAATGGCTTAAGTTGGGGCACCGGGGTGGCTCAGCTGGTTAAGCGTCCGACTCACTTTCCGCTCAGATCATGATCTCCAGGTCATGGGATAGAGCCCCACGTCGGGCTCCGCACTGGGGGGAGGGGTGTCCGTCAGAGATTCTCTCTGCCTCTGTCTCTGCCCCCTCTCAAAGTAATTAATTAATTAATCTTTAAACAACAAAACGAAACCAATGGTTT